AAATACTAATCTACTCTCCCTCCCCCTCACAAGGCTAAAAATATGAACCATTCTTATCATGAACCAATGAAAACATATAGTAATAACAACTGAGCCCTTCTAAAGTCAAAAGTAACTTCAGTGAAACATCCTCACCATCCTGGGTAGAGCCTCCTGATGTGTTTAACAACTCAAAAAGTCACCCATGATTCCCTCTTTTGGACAAAGTCCTTACAACCCAAGATTTCACATAAGAAGTTCCCCAGGGATTGTAGTGACTCTATCAGTTTTAATGGAAGGATTTCTCTTTGCGCTCTGACCACTTGGGAGACAAAAACTGAATAAGGAAACCAAGGAATTGAGAATACCCTTCTAGGGTCCAGAGAATACATCCTATTGCCATCAATACTATAACTACACAAGAGTAATACCCAAATGGCTTTCTGAGGGAAAACCTCACAAGAACAGTCCACAGAGAAGACAGGTGAGATGACAAATTCAAAGTTCTTTTTTCATCTCAGTGTTCAGTGCACACTTGTTGTATAAGAATGCGAAGGTGCACTATTGTGTTATAAGAAATGAAGAAGGGGATGGCTTCAGAAAAACTTTGGAAGATTTATATTAACTGATACAAAGTAAAGTGGGCAAAATCAAATAATCCATACAATAACAAACTGTAGTGTGAGGAAAATCAACTGTGGAAGACTAGCAACTCTGCTCAATCTAATAATCCACCCCAACTCCAAAGGACGCAGATATAAAATGCTATCTAATCCCAGAGAGAGAACTGATGGACTCAGAGTACAGACTAAAGCATATTTTCCCCTTCTTTATTTTTCTTGCTTCCCCCCTCCCCCAGAAATATGGCTAATGCAGAAATGTGTTTCACATGACCGTATGTGTATAATGGGTATTGTATTTCTTTCTTTCTCAATGGTTGGAGAGGAAGGGAGAGAATGGAACCTTAAATAAAAATTAAATTAAAATTAAGAAAAATTGTAAATCTCTGCTTATATTCCTAGTCCCTTCCAATTGCCTTAAAAAGGAAAGAGTCCAGAAAAAAGCATGGAAGAACACTGGACTTGAAGTCCAAAGAATTGGGCTCAAGTTTTGGCTTTGCCACATACTAGCCATATGTCTCTGAGAAAGTAATTTCTTCGCTATGGGTCTCAGTTTCTTCATTTGTAAAATGAGAGACTAGGTCCTTTCTATATTAGATAATATGCTCTGAGGCATGATATTTTTCCTCTGAAAATGTGTGGCAATGAACAAGTCACTTCCCTTATCTGTAAAATGAGGGAGCTGAAGAAAATGCTCTCTGAGGTCCCTTCTAGTTCTAACAAACATTCTGGTTATTCTGCAAACAACCCCCCCCAAAAATTCTCCATCTGGATGTCTCCCATTTGTCTCTGTCTGAGGATGATGATCGTGTTAAACACACCAAAGAATGCCTATGACAGATTGATATTCCCAGCCTGTCTCCCTTTTACTTGACTCAAGGACAGTCCCTTGATGCCACCTAAGAAATCCATGCAGCTGAACCACCCTGCTATACATTCACTAACTGCCTTCAGAATCCCCCAAAGTGAAGGGAGACAACAGAAAGCAATTTTCTACAATGAAGTAAAGATGGGGGATTTATTTCCAGTCTGCAAGATCTATCTACCCAGGAGGCATATTTATAAGAAGGCCTTGAGAGGTGATGTATTTCTGATCTTTCGCTGACTCCATTTTCTGCTGCCCACATCTGCCATCCTCCTTTTCAGAAGAGAAATCTTTGCTCAAACTACTGACCTCAGAGGAAGTCCCAGAGAGCCCTCAATCCTTCAAAACGATATATTCCTCCTCTGAGCCAAACCAGGCTGCACAAGCAGAAGGAACTGTGTCTCCATCAGCACTAGTCATGGTCTCATTTGCAGGTGGGTCTGAAGCTGAGCAAAATCGTAAAGAAAAGGAAACCCCTTCTTTCTGTGGCCCTTTCCCCCTCCTTTGATTACTATTCCCTCCCACATTCAGACACCTTCCTTTTTTCCCCCTTTAGTCTGCCCTCCCTTTATCAAAGCCTGGTCTCAGGGAAGGATCTGAGATCAGCCATGCTGCTTCTGTCAGAGGTTATTTTTTATATTTTTAGCATTTTATCTTTAATTGTAGGATGAGAAGCGTTGCTGGTTAAAGGAATTGCAGTCCCAGGGAGCAGGTGGGAGAGGGATTATCTGAATTATTACTGTTGTTGTCATTACTATTATTAATACATGTCTCATTAAGAATTTAACATTGGATAGCAATCTCAACTACTTACTCAAATGGATCTATTCTCTCACTGATTTGAAAGTTATCTGCAGCCATGCACCTCATGAATCATCCATGCCTGTCCATCCTGAGTTTGTCTTGTTCATGCCCTTCTATGAGTGTGTTCATCTAAGGTGCGGGGGGCTTTACCTCCTTTCCCCTTACACTGTGATGATACCATTGGAACACTTGGGCTGTCCATCTGTTATCTCTTACTCTCGTCCCATGGCCAGACCACTTTCTGTTTTGGCTCATGCATTCCAACGATGATATATTTTATTATAGCTCTTCAAAGTTCCTTATGGTTATCTGTTGCAGCTTACACACAGCATGTGCCTTTCCATTAGCCCCTGGTGCAGCTCATTTTTAATTCCTCAGGAGCCACAATATTCCGAGATTCACAGCCACACAACACTATAAGTTAGTTATCTACTGAACATCAATACAATTAACTAATTTTTTGTTGTTGCTGTTTAGTTATGCCTGACTCTTTGTAACCCCATTTGGGGTTTGCTTGACAAAGATACTGGAGTGGTTTGCCATTTCCTTCCCATTACAGAAGAGGAAACTGAGGCAAACAGTTAAGTGACTTACCCACAGTTCACATACGTAGTAAGTAATCAATTTACTGAGTACTGATTTATAATTTAATTAATCTCAATGCATAAAGAATTGAGAGGCAGTATGGAATAGTGGATAGAGAGCCAGCCTCAAAGCCAGGAAGACCTAGGTTCAGAGTCCCACCTCTAACACATACTGGCTGTGTGATTCTAGGTAATTGACCTAATTTCTCAGTCCTCCATCATACCATGACTTTAAATTGCAGAAAATGTGCCAAGCTGTACTAGTAGAGGGAATATTTTCCCATTCCATTGTCAAAGAAAATGTCAACCCCTGCTTAAATTCTTAGTCCACTCCACCTGCCTTAAAAGGAAACAGTCAGGAAAGAAGCATGGAAGAACACTGGATTTGGAATCCAAAGACTTGGGCTCAGATCTTGGTTCTACCACATATGAGCCACATGACCCTAGGAAAGTCACTTTTTTTCCTATGGGTCTCAGTTTTCTCATCTGTAAAACAGGTCTACTATCTATATCTACCAACAGTAGATAACATGCTCTGAGGCATTGCGGCTCTTCTTCTCTGGCAGTGCATGACAATGGGCAAGTCACTTCATCTTCCTGGGCCTCAGCTGGTAGCCCTAGTTAGAGTTGCCCATAACAATAAAATCGTAAATCCAAATCCTTTCCTTCTCATCTCTACATGAATTATCATAACAATTTTTCAATCTGTCTCAGTCTGCGAGCCCTCTGTCCAGGCCAGATGAGCAGAACCGATGAGCCATACAACGCCTCAGTTAGCCCCACACGTGGGAACTGAACCTTAGACAAAACTGTAATATAAGTAAAGCTTGCCTTTGCTTTCCTCCTTTGTGAATGGTCTTTCGTTTGGCAAAAGGGAAAGAACATTGGATTTGAATCTGAGAATCTGAGTTCAAATCCCAACTCTGTTACTTACTACCTGTATGACCTTGGGTAATTGGGCAGTTCATCTTTCTAGGGTTCAGTTTCCAGGGGGTACTAGATGATCCTTGAGGTACCTTCCAATCCTAGATCTATGAACCATGATCCCCAGATAAGATCAATACCTACCAAGGTTTCCCCCTCCACCCAACATGGGTTAGACTAGTTTTTCCCCTTAAAGACAACAAAGCTGGAACTTGATTAGCACAGGAGTGGGGCAAGGTTCAAGCTTAATCTCCCTAGACAAAGCTTCCTAGTCACTCAAGGTGTGTCATAAAAAGACTACATGGAATATGGGCCCTTCAGATCTGGTGAATGACTTGAGACCACTTGAGTCACCGTACTCTTCTCTGTTGACCAGGTGTATCTCCATAAAGAGACAAAGGGGGCCTGATTACCCAAGCTAAGTGCTACTTTATTCTTGTTGCGTATACTTCCTATGTTAGGACTAAACAAATCTATTAAAACTATTCAATGTATTTCCAGTGCCTCATTTCATCTCAATGTTAAATTTAAACAGGATGGTGGTGTCAGATGTATCCCTAGCAGATTCCCTTTTCAAGTACTTAAGTCTTGTTATTAATTTTAAGGTATTACTCGATGATGAATGAAGGTATAATCTTTTTCAAAAGTATTTCATAGAAAAGATGAAAAGTTTTTGAGGTACAAGAATGAATTTCCGATGGCAGAATGATTGGCAGGTAATGTTGGCTGTTTGGGAACCCTTCTGGAGGCCTCTATATACGAGACCTGTCCTGATGATGAAATGATGGTGATGATGGTAATAGTGATGATAGGGATGATGATCATGATGCTGGTGAGGAGAAAGAGGAGGAAGAAGAGGAAGAGAAAGGAGAAAGAGGAAAATGAAGTTTGAGTCAGTCACCCACAGATGACCCAGGTGCTCACAGTCAGGCATTAACACTCTCTAGTGCAGAGGGCTACTGCCTGTATTTTCGGTCCATCTTGCCAGTATCCCCTTTAAAGACAATTCCCTAGTGACACAAGGGTAGAAGTAAGCCTCCTTCACTCATAGAGGAAGGCAGAGAGTCCAAGATGCCAAGATTCTCTCAGAGACTATGGACATCCCACCATTCCCCAAAGCCAAAGGCTTACAGTGAGAGAGATCGAAAGAGGAAGAAAAGAGGAGAGAGAGATGTGAAAATCCAAATGTTGGCCATGTCTCCCCTTACCCATATCACTCCTCACCTGAGCAACTTCTTCAAAGTCATCATGTCTCTTCTGCAGGGCCCGGGCTCGATGCAGGGACTTCCCAACACCTGTGTGTTTGCTGAGAAAGGCCTCACCGTGGTTTTCGATCCAGTCCAACACCTGATGATAAAAGAAGGACATCTACAATTATTTCTCATTGTGAAATGGCTAATGGAGGGAAAAGAGCATCAATCCCTAACCAAGTGGTTTTATCTTATCTTTAAGTCAATTCAATTAAATTAACAAATGTTAATTAAGCACCTAATGTGTTTAAGTCAGGGACTTTAATTTGTGTTCTACAGACCTCTCCAAGGATAGATTTTATTGAGCCCATGTAGTTCAATGAGGAAAAAGCTACATCTTTACTTTAATATAATTGGTTTCCCTTTAATCCTATGTATTTTATTTTACGCATTTAAAAATATTATCCAAGTAGGAGTACATAAGCTTCATCAGACTGTCAAATGGGTTCATGAAATACAAAAAAGTTAAGAATCCCTGGTGTAAGGCACCCTGCCAGGCACTGGGGATTCAATGACAAAATCCTGCCCTCAAGGAGCTGATATTCTTCTAAGGGTAATACACAGACAAAGCGAAGAATAAACAAAGTAATTTCTTTGATGCGAGAGAAGGAAGAGCTCCGTATCTTAAGAAACAGAGATGAGGAGTAAGTATATTCCATACTTGACCATCAGTCTATCTCTCTACCTAGTGACCCTGGGCAAATGAGGAACCACTCTGAACCTCAGTTTCACCATCTGTAAAATGAAGGGCTGGACTCAATGACCTCTACTGTCCCTTCTAGCTTCCAATCTATGGTCTTATGGAATACTACATGAAATTAAGAAAAAGTGCTATGCTACATGAAACAAAAGATAGAAAAATAAATGGGAATTAAATTATAGAGGGCCTTAGATGTCAGAGTGAGGAGTTTATATTTTATCCAACAGGGAATAGAGAGCCCCTAAAGATTTTTTAATAAGAGAATGACAAGATAATACCTGTGATTTAGGAAATTACTCTGGTAGTTTGTGTTTGGGTCTATTCTAGCTCTCCACTAATTACCTATGAACCCATCTTACATGTAAGACATTCCAACATATGAAGTTGTTTGTTGTTGTTGTTATTCAGACATTTCAATTGTGTCAGACTTTTCATGACCCCATTTGGGGTTTTCTTGGCAGAGATGCTGGAGTGGTTTGCCATTCCCATTTCCAAATATATGAAGTACTGAACAACAAAGCCCTGAGTTAAAGATAAGCCTTTTAGTAAACCTTCAGAGTCTGAAAACTGGCACAGAAGAATTAAATTAAGTAAAAAATTCAGATCATGAATGAATTTTGGCACCTTTGTTCTTTGTATGCCCTCATGACTAATCCTTATTTTAAAAAAAATCTAGAGACTTGACTTCCTCTTTCCATGCCTTTACTTTCCTGCCCCCATTAGTAAATGAGTTAGATCTTAACCTTTTAGGGCTAGAAAACTTTGAGGATAAATTTTTACCACCATGGGTCATTGAGTTGTGCATATCTTTTATCACCTTTGATACTTGCTTAAATTTAAATAGATATTTTAAAAGACTCAATGTTTTTCTAAGGTACCTTGAAACGAAATTTCAGCAAGTTTGTCCGGGAAAGGGGCTCTTTTCTTGACTTGTGCAATTTAGCTTTATCCATTTTAAGGGAGATTACACTTAAGAATGCTAGGTAAGTTTGAATAGTTTCTTTCTGAAGTTACTACAGGAACATTTGTTTGTCTTTATGTTCTGAAGAAAATAGAGAGACACAGGTGGGCTATGGTTGTGAGGGAGGGAGATACTTGAAATAGTTGAAAGTAAGAGGGCTTCATCCTTTATCCCTATTAAATATTTTTGAAGACAAGATAGTTATTGGCTAGGAGACAGTAGTTAAGTGGATGCCCACATTATTAATGTGTCGATGTCACCAAACTGGTAAAACTTTGCTAATATGATGAATGTCAGTCAGGATACAACAAGATCTTAAAAGGCTAGGAAAATGGGCTGAATTTAAGGGGGAGGAAGGGATAAGAATAAGGCTTTATGCAGGTTCAAAAAAAAAATCTAAGGTCTGAATCCAGGGTCAGGGAGGCATGGCTGAATTTTTTCATGTGGTTAACGATCCAGAAGTTTTAATGATCTGCAAGTTTAAAGAGGTAACAATGACATGGCAGCCCCAAACCAAAACCATCAATCCCCCAAGTACATACACATAGAGTCACTCACCGAATAGGAGTAGATAGTGACGGATATGAGACACGAGGGATAAAAGAAGTTGGGAATTTTCCTTTCTCTTTAGGTCTTTAGGAGAAGACAATCCATCTATTTCCCCTTCACCCTAGAACTTTCTCAAAAGATATGGGCTTGGAGAAAAGCTCAGAGGCAGAGACTAGAATAAAATAACTTCTGACAGTCCATTTCTAACTTTCTTATCTTTCAGGGAAATAGAGAAAGGAAGCCTCAAGAAGGCTGAAACCACAACAATTAATAAAAGTAAACGGATCCCTTTGACCCAGAGATCCAACTGCTAGGCATACATACCAAGAAGGTCACCAGTCTTCTTGAAAGAAGGGCCCTGAATCAACCAAAATATTCATAGCAGTGCTTAGCAAAGAACTGGAAGCAAAATGAATGCCTGTTGACTGGGAAATAACCAAAGAAACTGCCCTGGGAGAAATGATGCTTATGAAGAATTCAGAGAAGCACTCGAAGATATATAAGAACTGATGCAGAGTGAAGTAGGCTGAAAACAGTATACACGATGACAACAATGAAAATGGAAGAAGGAGAAAAGACTGGACAATGTGTAATTATGATGATTAAGCTTGTCTCTGAGGAAGAGATGAGAAAATGTACCCCACTCTCTTCTCTGCAGAGATGGGACACTTTGGGTGTGGAACTGTCAAAAACTGACCTGCTTTTTTTTTTCCCTCTTTCTTTTTTATTCTTTGTTATAAAGAATAGGTAAGAGAGTGAGAAGGAGTAAATTTGGAATTAAAGAAAATATATAAACAAAATATGCTAAAAAAAAAGTAAATGGACAATAAGGTAAATTAAACTTTATGGGGCAGCTAGGTGGTGCAGTGGATAGAGCACTGGCCCTGAAGTCAGGAGGACCTGAGTTCAAATCCAGACCAAACACTTCACACTTACTAGCTGTGTGATTCTAGGCAAGTCACTTAACCCCTATTGCCTAAAAAAAAAACAACCCCAAAACAAAAACAACAACAACAACAACAACAAAACCCCTTCATGATATTTTCCTTAGTTTCTTTAGCAAACAAAGTTATAAGATATGTTTCCCTATCTTTCTATGATAGGGGGGTGGGGACCCTATGGCCTCAAGGCCACATATGGCCCTCTAGGTTCTCAGCTGCAGCCCTTTGACTGATCCAAACTTCACAGAACAAATCTTTGGGAATATCTAGAATTCTAATTGTCTCAAGGCCATTTGTTCTGTGGAGTTTGGATTCAGTCAGAGGGCCACATATGGCCTTGAGGCTGTCGGTTCCCCACCCTTGGTCTATGACATTGGTGAATTGTCTTAACTGTGGCCTACTAAGCCTTGTCAGGAACACCTCACTCATGCTTCCCAGAAGTCAGAACAATTACCAGCTTCCCAGGCTATGCTGCTTAATCTCCTGCTGCCTTCTCTCCCTTAAAAGGTTGTTCTCCAGGTGACAGACCCATTGCTCTTTGGAAGAGCTCAGACTTCCCATGCTGGGGAAGAATGATTTTACTCTCCGATTAGAAGCAATAAGGCTGGGTGTTCAGGTTTACTTGCTGACTGGAACTAAGCTGGCATGGCAGGTATAGCATAAGAACTGACATTTCTATAGAGCTTTGTAATTTGCAAAGCTCTTTATGCATCAAACCTTGTGAGGCAGAGTAGTGGACCCATTTTAGAGATGACATCCCCACCTAAATGTCCCTTAAACTCAACATATCCGAACAGAACTCATTCTCATCCCCACCTAAGCCAATACCCCCCTCCCACCTTCCTTATTTCTGTGGCAGCCATCAGCAGCCCCCCATATTGGAAACTTTGATGTCAGCCTGGACTCCTTGCTCTGATTCATACCCTGGACCCAATCCATTGCTGAGTCTTGCCTATTCCAATTAATCAGTCAACAAGTGTTTCTTAAGTGCTTACCATGTGGCAGGCATTATGATGAGTCTGGGGCTACCATGATAACAAGGAAACAGTCCCGGTGCCCTCAAGGAGATGACATTCCATTCACCTTGCTTCCAGTCTCTCCCCTCTCCAATCTGTTTTCCACAGAGGTGCCAAACTGATATTTCTATAGCCCGGGTGTGCCCATATCTTTCCACTACTTAGTTCAATATCTCTCTATTGTCTCAATAGGGAATGCGGACTCCTTAGTATTACATTTAAATCTCTTCCCAATCTGGCCCCAATTTACATTTCCAGGTTTGTTTCTATCCTAAGGAAAATGGGGAGTCATTGAGGTTTCCTGAGCAAAGGAGTGGCATGGCTATTCCTATGCTTTAGAAATGTCAATTTGGCATCACCAGGGGTTCCCTGAAGCCTTTAGGATAAATGTTTAGCATTTGAAGCTTTTTACAATATAGTCACAGCCTGTCTTTCCAGGCTGATTATGTATCACCTCTCCCTCCCCCCATATAATCTACCTTCCAGTCAAACTGGCCTATCTCTGTGCTTTTGCACAGGCTGCCTGTCCCATGTGCTTGGAAAGCTCTTCCTTAGGTGGCAGCTAGGTGGTGCAGTGGATAGAGCCCTGGCTCTTGGAGTCAGGAGGACGGACCTGAGTTCAAATGTGACCTCAGACACTTGACACTTAGTAGCTGTGTGACCCTGGGCAAGTCACTTAACACCACCCCCCCAATTACTTAAAAAAAAGAAAGCTCTTCCTTCTCACCTCCACCTCTGGGAACTTCTATAGCTCTCTGAAGCTCAGTTCAAGCCCACCTCTTCAAAGGGGCCTTTCCTGATTTCTTCAGTTGTTAATGCCCTCTGATATCTCCCCCCTGTAAACGCCAGTCAATTGTTCTGTATTTATTTTGTGTATATCGCCCACATTTACTTTTCTGCAAACGTGTTTTATCCCCACAGCAGAATGTA